ACTTAAAGACCTTTTGTTACAATGATATAAAAATAGTTTATTAATTAATTATTTTTTAATTATTATTAATTATGTTATAATATATACAATTAAATTAATTATTTCAATGCAATAACCTTTTCTTGCTCTTCATTTTATAATACATCAAGTGAAATTTCTTCAAATGTGCCCTCCTTGTCCATTATTATATCGAGTGTTTTCTTTACCTGTTTTAGAGCCTAAAATGATAACTCAGAAATATTGTTGGAATAAAATTTTTTTTATTATAATCCAGTAGATAATATCATGGCATTTATTTTATGAATATGGTTTTCGGTACATGTACACCTCGACTATAAGTTACGTGGTTCATTCGATCAGTCCAATTTTTGACTATTTTTTACAATAAATGTGACCATATGACCTTCATGTCAATTGGGGCATGAACATTTGTTTTCAATGCTTCAAGAGTTAGGGGCTTGTTGGCATAAACTTAACCTGATAACGAATTAACATAACCCCATAAAAAGTGATCGAAAGACTTTAAATCACACGCATGAGGGGGCCAGTTAACAGGACCACTTCTGGAAATAAATTTCTTATTAAATTGTCTTATTAGAACCAAATGTCTTCGATGTTTAATTGATTACAAAAATTCAGTCAGCATCGCCCGATAGCGCTTGCCATTCACCGCAACGGCGGCTCCTCCATCATCTCGAACCGATGTTGCTATCAGCATTTAAACCGCACCAAACAATCAATTTTAATGGATGTAATGGTGATTCGTTAACGGCTTGAGGATCATCATCACTCGATATACGGGAATTTTGCTTATTTTCGTAGTCATTATGAGGACCGTAAAATGAACGAAGTGCTCTATAAACTTCGCAAAATGATTTATTTGTTGAAACTAAATTTCCCCAATTTGGAAGCGTTGAATGATTCATGATGAATTAATAAATCTTACTGAACAGAAGTGTCAACACAGTTTGAAATTCTCAGCAGTCAAACCATAGTTATCGATATCGATAGTTTTCATGTAGCTAAAAAAACACCCGATATATTGTTTTATATAGGATTGTTACAGAAATCACTTTCATTTTCGATTGTTATCTTAACTATCATATTAAGTAACAATATTAACGAAATTTGGTATAATAAAATGCTATTGCATTTGGAACTGTTTTAATATCAGTTAATTTATTTACATTTAATTGTAATTTTTCTGGAAATTACAACAATCTAGAGAATGGGTAGAGCCCGGGGGAAGTACTCCCAAACGACCACGAACTTAACAATCGGCTAGAAAAATTTTGGTTTCCATATTTTGGGATTCAAGTGAAATAATTTTCATAGACTATTTGGAAAAAAGAAAAGCAATCATAACATATTATTGGATATATTAAATGAGGAAATCATGAGAAAACGAGGACTTTTTGGAGGATTTAATTAATCGTATTATTTAAAAGGTATCCAAATGTGAAAAGTACTTTGGACTCTGTACGTAAAGCTAAAAGAGGACTATATTGAAGAATAAAATATAATTTTCTAAAAAATATAAAATATATTTTTATTACTTAGAACGGGCATTTATTAATCCACCCAGTAACAAGTTTTTTAATACTTATATATATGTATTTGTATTTTAAATAGAATTTTGCAACCAAAGTAGTTGCATTTTTGTGTATTTATGATTTTATTTTATTAAAATTGTTTTGAATTGAATTGTTAGTTTTCTAATTGTGTGGTCTTTTCAAGCAGCAAATGCTTTTATCAAAATGAGCAAGTTTTTATGAAATTAAACACCCAAGCATACTGCCACGCTTAATGATTTAAATTACTTTAGCTAGGAGATATTTGCAACGTTTTGTAGTATATCTGAAAAGATTGCAGTTAATGCCACACACTCAACATTTTCCAAAATGAATGACTTAACTCCGTTTAACAATTGCATTTGCAACAATTGTTGCATATTAAATTAGCAGCACATTTGTCGCATTGGCGCTAGCGTTTCTCACCACAAAAGCCTCAATAGAGCACCACAAAAGCCAGTAGGGAAGGAAGGTAAACGAAAAGTAATTCTGAGACCGATGTTGGCTGGTTACTATTTAGCATCTGGTTTGACAATTGAAAATGAAATTTGTTTGTGGTATAATTTGCCACAAATAAGCAAGCAAACAAACAAAACACTTCCAACAGACACAAGCAGCAACAATTGCTGGCAAAAAATATAAATTGCTGTAGCGAAATTGCAGTGGCAATTGCAACGCATTTGTTGGTTTTGTTCGTTGGCTTGTTGCACATGTTAACCACCAAGAAGATTGTTGTTATCGTTTGGTTAAAAGGTGTTTCATTGATTATTGCTGTGTGGGCGATCTGTGCTCATACCAACTGCGGTTTCGGTGCTCGAATTTGCATTTAATTTGATGAAATGCAGTTTGGCGTTAAACAATTTTGTAAAACCTACTGAAATTTTGCTAGGAATTTGTTAACAAAATCTTAATGAAGCTAACAAATTTCTTTTGTTTCTTTTATTTCAATGAATCTGTGAGGGAGAATACAGAATGTGCAGAATTGATATTGGGTGGTGCTGTCACTTAAGTTTGGATTAGCAATTAACATTGCTAAGTGGAAATAATAAGTCATTCTTTGTTGCGCAGAGATAAAAATCATATGAAAGATAGACATACTCCAACCAATGTTTTATAATATTTTTTAATTTTCTTATATATTAAGAACATATATTATTATATATTATAAGACTATTTGAAAGTCTACTAGGCTTCAACACTAGACACAGTCATGGAAAGATCACATTTTTATGCCAAACGGCTTCGTTCGCTTCAACCTTCTAAGCATGGTTCACAATTGCGGGAGCTTCATCATTGGTTGTAAGCCGTTTAATATTCGATTTGGAATTCTTTTTACTTATTTTTCGATTGATGGAAATTTGAAGTGCCTATGTTTGTCACTGCTTCTAACAGACCAAAAAGCTTCACCCACATATCTAAGTACTTTATTTTAAAATTGCTACACTTTTTGCTAAGCTGACTAGAGTATCTCATGAGTGGAGCGTTGAAGCACAATATTTGTTTGGGGAGTTACTTATAGACAGGGAATTTATTGTTTTGGAATAGTGATGATGCCAGCACATAAACCGGTACATATTTTTATGTATCTGTGTAACAGATACATAACAATATCTCAAAGTACTTTATCTTAAAATTCTGATATTGCAATCGTAGTAGTCCGATGTGTGTATCTTCAGGTTGAAACCCTGTTAGTGAACCAGTACTTATTTTTCCACTTTAAATGTGGTTATTTTTGTTTAAATTTGATGGCTGTGTTGATCATTATTCAATAATTTTTAGATATATTTTTTGAATTATACTTTCTATAAATAACTCAAATAATATAATTAAAGAAATTTTACAAATAATTTATAAAAAATTTCCAACTTATTTTGCAGTGCGAAGTAGTTATAACATAATTCAGTGAAACATGAATAACATGACAGAATAATGTATTAAGTATTGACATCTTACACTTTCACAAGTCATTCTTGAAATACAGTTCAGATATTGTGTCTAGGATAAATAAGAAAAGTACTATTGACTCAGTCGGTATTTTTTAATTCAGAAATGTTGGCTTCAAGTTTGTTTTACTTTTTAACGTTTGCCATTATCTAGCTTAAGGGGGTTAAACACCCTCTTATATAGATTTCATCGCTAATGAAATCTATATTATTCGCCCAGTCTTTAGGATTTACTCATCTTTTAATTTAGCAATTGATATCGATATGTTTGTTTTAGTTAAACTAAATCAATTGACAATTTAAATTTGCAGTATCCACTTTATCCTAACGTCTTTTTGGTACAAAGGCGTTAGTGTACATCTTAATTTTTGAGACTAGTTTATCTTTATCATTAATCATTAAGGGACATTTCTCTTACTTTCGTTAAGAACCTCTAGTTTATTATAATGCTTTAAATTTTTTAACATTGCCGGCGTCATATCTTCATTCATATGTTCGTAAGAGTTGCAATAAAATCTCTTAATGTCTATTTTAACTTTTCTTTTTACTTAATTTAGTTGAAGATAGACTGTCGAAAAGTAGAAGGTTTGGAGATAGCTTAATTTCCATGAATCAATGCGTCTATATCAAATGTAAGGGAGCACCCATCACTACTTCTATTCAAATTTAACTATTATAAGTAAATTTAGAAAAACGGATGACCCTAGTTCCCCTTCAACCCTTTCATTAAAACTTGTAATGCTATTTCTTATCACTGACATCTGCGTTTAATCATATTTCTATGATACATTCCAAATGTCACATGTGATATATCTCAAATAATTGTACGCATTTGTTATAAATTCAACAAAATAATAGTTTGAATATTTGTAATATTTGGTAAAAATTATTGAAAGGAATTATTATAGAACTTTCAATAAGATACTTGCACAATTTCTTAAGTTTCAAAACTTATTTATATTTGCTTTTCTTCTATCTGGAAAACTTTTGTTAACCAGTAACGGACATTTGCATCCGTAAAAGTTTAACACAAAAGACAGAAGTTACAACTTTGACACGCTTTCAAAGAGGGATGTACTGATTTGTGGGTGCGGAGTTTGACATTTTTATGGAAGTGACATGTGAGAGCGAGCAACTTAAGTTGGTGATATAAGAAATAACACAATTTGGTTTATTAAAGTTATTATTAAGAGGAAAAATATTAGTACATACTGTATCAAATTGCAACAGTGTTACTGGTATTAAATAAATATAAATATAGTCAGTTATGACGATATATATATATAGTTAAAGGAAAAAATTTTTTATATTGTTCATCTTCATTAATATTGATCAATTTAATCTTTGGGCATCAAAAATAAATAAACTACGTCACTTCAGTTCTTAAGAAGTCATGTGGGCGACTTTCATCAATGAGAATCTGTGCTAGATGGAAGCATAAGTTTTATAGTTGGTCATTATATTGATTCAGGATAAGTACAGAGGTTACATTTAGTGATCTGATGGTAAGTGATTAAAATTTGATTTGACAAAGACAAATATTCGTGTATTAATAATTTTAACATCGATTACAAGATCTTATACTTTTCTTAGTGATATAACCATATAGGTTGATGAAAACTAATTGAAGATTTCTTCATTCATATGTTATACATATTTTGTGTAAAAATGTCTAGAATCTATATACATAAAAGAAAGTCGTGTTAGTTACACCACTCATAACTCAAGAACGGCTAAACCGATTTTAATTATCTTTGATTTGTTGGAATCGTCTCCGCTCCGAATAGCAGAATACATTATAAAATATTGGAAAAATCCACTAATTTTAGCAAAAATAATAAATTTGTAAATGCTATTTCAAACTGTTGACAGTTCGACAGTTTTAGTGATATTGATTTCTTTTTAAATTTTTTTTTCAAATATTTCAAATATTTCAAATTTCAAATATAATAAATTCAAATATAATAAATAAATATTGTTATCAATACACCATCGAATCCACGTGATCTGTGGAACAAATATAAGGATAACATGTCAGAAGACATTTTACATAGAATTCGTGTCAGTTCAAGAAATCCCGATCTTGAGGTGAATGATGAAATGCATAATCAGGCTTTGCTCTTGATCGAAGACATATGTTACCATACGTGCGGTAGTTTGTTTGTCAGATTAGGAATGCCAGCTCCTGATCGTGGAATAAATAACGCATTTAATCGAGAATTGGAACGTGAACGTGAACATGATCGACATGAATTAGACCAATCAGTTCAAACTAATGTACCTCTATTGAATCCGCAACAGAAGGAAGTTTAACATTAATGAAAGTGATTGATGAAGAAAATGGTGGCTTTTTTTTCCTGGACGCCCCCGGTGGGACTGGTAAAACATTCCTCATGTCATTAATTTTGGCCACTGTTCGTGCGATATTCCGACATTGCGGTAGCAGTTGCTTCTTCTGGAATAGCGGCTACATTGTTAGAAGGATGCCGTACGGCTCATTCAGCGTTAAAATTGCCGTTAAACCTTCAAACTACCGAGCAACCGATATGTAATATTGCGAAGCATTCTGCAATGGCTAAAGTTTTAGTAGCATCTAAAATCATCATCTGGGACGAAAGCACAATGGCGCACAAACGCGCATTAGAAGCACTTGACAGAACATTGAAAGATCTTCGCAATGACTCGAGATGTTTTGGAGGTGTCTGGCGATTTTCGCCAAACACTCCCAGTCATTCCAAAATCGACTGCTGCCGACGAATCTTTGGCGCTATGTGAAGAAACTTCAGCTGGTAACAAACATGAGAGTTGCATTGGTCAACGATACATCTGCTAAAGAATTCTCCAAGCAATTGCTGTTAATCGGTAATGGCCGTGTAGCTGTTGAAGAATCGAGCGGATTAATAGCATTTCCTTCAAATTTTTGCAATTTCGTCTCATCAAAAGACGAACTCATCAATGAAGTATTTCCGAACATCATTGATAATCATAAAAACAAAAAATGGTTGAGTAAGCGAGCAATTTTGGCACCTAAGAACAAAGATGTGAATGACTTAAACTTTGTAATTCAAAATCAAATCGTTGGTACTCTGCATACATTCAAATCTATTGACTGTGTAACAAACGAAGAAGAAGCTTCCAACTATCCAACTGAATTTTTGAACTCCTTGGATGTGCCTGGCTTACCACCGCACAATTTACAATTAAAGATTGGTTCGGTAGACATTATGCTTCGAAATCTAAACCAACCAAAACTATGCAATGGAACGCGTTTAGTGATAACAAAACTGATGGCCAATGTGATTCACGCAATGATACTCAAAGAAAAATTCAAAAGTGATGAAGTTCTCATTCCGAGGATTCCAATGATCTCAATCGATATGCCCTTTGAGTTTAAATGAATTCAATTTCCTATTCGGCTTGCATTCGCTATGACTATAAATAAATCACAAGGCCAATCCTTTAGTGTTTGTGGTCTGAATCTAGAAAATGCATGTTTTTCACATGGTCAATTGTACGTGGCATGTTCACGTGTAGGCAAACCATCTGCTTTATTTGTTCTTGCGCCTGATAAAAAAACAAAAAATATCGTATATCACAAGGTTCTTTATTGAAGAGAATCAATCGGAGTGCAACCCATAGGTTCTTGCTGACAAACCATTCAAATAATTAATTATATATCAATATCCTAATAAACTATTGAATACAATAAATTTTTTGTATTCATTTTATTACGTTAATAAATTTCTAAATTTAGTTTACCTATAATTTAATATAACATTTATTGACTGTTACGCGGTACGAAGTTCGCGGGGTCACCTAGTTATTAAATAAAACACAAAATGATATTATATTTGAACTCTTTCAGCTAATTTTTTTATGCAATTTATTATACGATAATCAAAGAGGGAACTATAGAAGAATGATATTATTTGTAGCCTAGTTTTCCTTGTATTCAAAATATAAATAATGCTTACATATAATTAGTTTATATTATAATATTTAATTTGAAGAATTTATTATAATTTAATTAAAAATAATTCATTAATTCATGATGATGTTAATGATGATTTAATTGTTCGTGTTATATATGGTTGTACAAATGCTCAAATATGAATATCAGTAAATATTCCTTGAATGTGATATATTCCTTGAATGTGATATATTTGAATTCAACATGAATCTATTTTCAATATCTGACATAAGTTCTCTAGAAGTAATGTTGAAGATGTTCTACTTATTATGTTGTTTTGTCTAATTTAGAAAGATTCAAATGTGATTTTCTAAGTTTCGTTGTAGTCTTTGAGAACCACATTATGCTGAGCAAGCAAGAATCATAAATAAGTTAAAAACTTTTGGTATCGTGTGTAAACACCCCTACCTAGTAATTGGAGATCGGCGAATAACAATACATTAATATTAATATTAATATTAAGAGTAGACGTGAAAATTGCCCAACAGCCGGTACTGCGGCCAGAAGAGACCTATTGTACCAGTTTTACTATTGATTAAACAAAGCCCCTTAAAGCTTTGTGAATAAAGTCTAGAACTAAATCTAGAGAAGCAGTTCTTAATCTGTTCTGGTGACAGAAATTCTTTATGAAACAGGTTTCTTCTGTGCGTTATTAAAGCTGGACAGTCACAAATAATGTGCATGGTTGTTTCCTCATCTTCGAGGCATAATCTGCATTCCGAGTTAGCAGATAATTGTAGTTTATGAAGGTGATATTTCAACCTGTGGGCCTCCATTCTCCCACGTTGAACATGATGGTAGGTGTACCTCAAATTTTATTTATTTTTTTTATTATTATTTTATAAAAACACAATTCAAAAAACTAATTTAAAATATGTAAATTTATAAATTATATACAATTTATAAATTACGATGGAATTCTATTGTATAGTCCCCATCGCATTGAGGAATTTTATGTGTTCCAAATGTTTTTAATATTGTTGTATGACCATAGTCAATATTAAAAACAATAGTCAATATTATTAAAATGGGTGCCTCATTTACTTGCAGAACATCATAAACATAAAAAATTTCTGTCAATTTTTGAGTACTGTAAATAGACTGCATATGAATTTCAGATAGACCACATAATTCTAACAACGAAAAAGAGGTCTTACGGGTTCTAAAGTATGTTACAATAATACTGTCAGTAAAAAAGCTTGTGATTGTTTTTGTTAAGGATATACATAATAAAGCATGATCTTTTTTATCGGCAATTTTAATATCAATATTGGTGAATTACTTTAGGTGAATTACTGCTGCACTATTTCCACTGCATTTACTTGTTATCTATTCAACTGATTTTATGTATTTCAAAATTGGACAAATTGACTTGCTGGAAAGAAATTTTAATCGAATTCAGACATAATCTTTGCAGCGGATGAATATTTTGCCGACCACGAAGAATCCCTTTTTTGAAGAAACACTATTACTTTAAATTTAAGTAATATATAGACCTTAAAGCAGACTACGATGTCGACACAAAATTTAAAGTTAATTCTATTGATAATTTTATTTATTACTGACTTATCATACAGCTCTCGCATATACCTATATCTTTTGTTAGATTTCATATTTTTATAATTATTTTTATGGTTCGTTTGATTTTGAATCTACTTGTTTTTTATTTTTGCCTTTATCTTTAAATTTTCCGGTTCTTTATTATATTACTCTTCCTTTCTAGCTCCATTTTTCTATCTCTCTCTCACACTACTTTCACATGCTTTGATTTTTTTATTTTTTGAGTATTATTGAGAACAACATCTGAGTAATTGTAATTGTATATTCAGTTTCGAACATTGCGTCATTATCCATCATCTATAATCGGAAACGATGAAGTCAGTAAATGTGCAGTTCATGTTATTGTAATTCATAAATTAAGCCACTTCAGAGTCGCAAATTACCATTTTAATTACCTTGCATTAAAAATGGCAACATAAGTTCCTCTCCAACTTTATGACCAACATAAAAATCCATTATTTATGCTCTGTCATTTGGGCAAAAAGTTTCCAGTAATTTCAGTAAAATCGAAATTTGTGTAATTTCAATTAAAAACAAACTTTTCAACATAATTCAAAATAACCAAACTACGAGTAGTTAAAATATTTACACCATAAGCAGTTCGATTTATTGTAATATTTGCGGTAGTTCGGTACCAATGGCAGCACTGGCAGTCCTGCAATTATTTGTGGTATGAATTTGGCTGAAGTGGTAGTAGATGTGGTGGTGGTATCCCATCAGCCGCCAAAAGAACACATAAATTCCGTCTGTGGCGTACATTAATTAATTTTGTTTGCTACAATTTTAAAAGGATTAAATTGCACAAAGGATAAAGCACAGCAAATAATGCTCAATGGTATCGCATATCTAACTTTGTATTATTCGTTTGTATGAGAAGCGTACGCTTATATGTGTGAATGCTTATGCTCTGTGTTTGTTTCTGCGTAAAGGTAATATTTTTCTTTATAGATACATTGACATAAAAAAGTTTGGCAAATATGATAACGTTGGTTTTAGCGTGGCAACAATATGATTTTCATATTTTATTATGAATTGTGCTTTAGAAGCCTTTGGATAAACAGTGGCGTTACTGAATAATATTTATAAAAATAAAGTCTTGCTAAATATTACTAATTTAACCTGAAAACAAAGAAACAACATCAGATATAAAAGGCATAATACCTTTAAAATATTTGTACAATAACTATGACACAGTTCTAGTTATTGCTCAAGTGAGTTTATAGCTTGATTATCGTTTAGTATAGGTTACTAAGAGATACTTTATGCAATTTTTATTTGTACAAAACACCTAGTTCATTTTGAAATTATTTTAGAAAATATACAAATATCAATACACAATTGACAGTTAAAGTTCTTCAATATTAACCTTTATTTAACGTAATGTAAATATTTAATTCACTTCAACCTTATGTTTCTCTTGTGAAAATGTAAAACCAATCTAATATTTCGTCTTTAAAAAATATTTCGCTGCTTTCAAAATTCTTCGCTGGTAGATGGTAAATGTCAGTGGTACCTACGGTCTATGTAATCAGAAAAGGTTTTTAAAATGCATCAGCTGACTTTTATGAATTATGAATTATTTATGAATTACGTATCGTTTTGCTTACAAGAACATTGGCTTTATTGCTCATATTGGATGTGTCGGATAGACATTTGAGGAAGGAAGAACTTGTAATGAATAGATGTCATCTAGCGAGTGATAGGAGTAGAGGAGCAATGTTTTCATTTTTTTTTTAACGACAATAGTTTTTGAACAGAGTTGCTATTCGAAGAAGAATTGAAAAAGAAAACAAATTTTATACTCAACTTAACAATTATTATACTAAAAAAATTTAGTTAAACTTTTAAATCAACTAATTCAGTGAACTTGTTCCTTTGTAAACTTAGCAAGTACTTCATACACATTAACTACAATTTAAGTTGTCTGAATGTCATAAAGTTTTGTTAGTACGTCTATTCTATATATAAACAGTTTTAAATATATGACGTCACTAAATATACATTTTTTGTTAAAGAAATTATTTAATGATATATCCCAACTATCTACAATACAAAAACCTAAGTTTTACATAATACATAAGGTAAGTGTTTACATACTTATTGTTAAAAGTTATAGGAAGTAACTTATAACATTTAATGTGGGTGCTTTTAGTCGCATTTACTTATAAATATTTTGTACAGCTGCTATAAACTCTAATAATTATTTTTTGGTACGCCACTGTTAGCTGCTTAACATATAACTGTTGAAGCTGGTAAGCTATTTTATTTCAGTCTAAATCCACCATATAAATTTGCTGTAACAATTTTCATGTCAAAGGCAAACCGTGACATTGTAAAATCTAATGAACAGAAATTAATTTACTATAATAATTAAACTAAAACACCAAAGTACATTCACAAGCTGCTACCACAGCTTGATGGCGGCAATAGTATAGAGTTCCAATAATTACGGCAGAATTTTATTCACGATGTATAAATTTAGCTCAGTTTTGTACTGCGCTAATACTTCCTATTACCTCCCATGGGATCATACCATTTGGGTTTACGGTTGCAACAGTCGTGTCACTCTTTGAAAGTGTTTCCGTATCAATTTGCATAAAATTTGTAATATTTTCTATTTTCCATTTGGCAAAAATCAGCGTTAATAAGCGCTTACCACAAAACATTTTACCTGTTGCCCAAGTCAGACACTGGCTTTCCCTTGAAGTGTAAATGGATCGCCTTGTGAAATCCGGTAATTGAGTGTAATTAAAGCCTTTCGCTGGTTCTCTAAGTTTTTGTTACAATTGACAACACTTTTGCTTGTTGGAAGGAAGTGTTGAACGGAAGAGTGCTTAGATTTGGCGTTCGTGGGGGTTGCACTGTACA